CAATAAGAGGCACTTATTTGAGAGTTAATTGGATTTATGAAATAAATGATATTAAGAACGAGCCGAGTTGTTGTACTTGTTGTGAGAATAGGGGGCCCCAGGGACAGCTTGGCGAATGCTAATGAGGGCATTTGCATAACCTACTTTATATAAGTTGTTTCCGCTAGTAGTTCATTCTCAATCGTGACATTTAATCGTTCCCATCCCCCCCTACCCCACGGGGGTTCTTCGTCGTTCCCATCCCATCCCCTTACACACGCCCATCCGTAGCCTTCACGGAGGAAGCCCGCAGCCAGCCCGTCTCGTGGCTCGCTACCCGTCGATTGCCCTATCCCAGTTAAGTACCTTTCCAATTCCCTGTTCATGGTCTGGCACCTCGCGCGAGCCTCGCTGGGTGAATGACCCTGGTATCTCGCATTCCTTCGTCTGTCTCATCGTCCTTCCCTTCCTGTCTTTGCGGCAATCAGCGTCAACAATCGACCCAAATCTCGTGTGTGTGTGTCATATGTCGTTCGTTATACAGTGTCTCTTTCGGAGCGGACAGGGCATTTTTTAACTATATAACTGGGGGGCCAAAGCCCCCCCAGCCCCCATGGTGCCCCCCCCCACTTAACCATTTTGGCCCCCCCAGTCAAAGTCCCTTTTCTCTAAAATATAAGCAAAACATGGAATTTAGAAGGGAGGTTTGATATTCTAGTAACTGAAATTTGCTTTGTGAATCTTATGTCCTGTCTTTTGTGTTTAATAAATACCTTATTAGATTTTAAACATTTCCCAGGCAGTGGATTGCATTTCCCAGACCTTATAGAGCTTGAGTTGTTGGACAAGTTAGTGACCGCAGGGGGCAACAGACCCTCAACCAAGTGTTTTACAAGGGGGGGATAATTTGACCCCCACCAAAATAAAAACAATTTTATTTCGAAAGTAGAAGTATTTGAAATCATATATACATATAATCAAATATCTGTAATCGATATTTTGATAACATTTCTCGTAATAATCCATCCTGACTCGCGGATATCATAGACTCACAAATCATAATGAACGAATTAATGAAAGGGCCAAACAAAAGACGTATAGAAGACTTTGAAAATGCCATTTCCGATGATTTAGAGACGCTTTTCAAAATTTTTCCGCTCTGTGCCAACCATGGTGGCGCTTTGTGGAAGTCGGGAACTCTAAGTTTATCAAGCTGGCTTCCTAAGTGACGGCCAAGTTGTGGTATCTACATAAACATACTATGCAAGTACTTAACTGAAGGTTCAGTTTATCTACAGCATAATGTAATGCTGTATATCCAAAAATCTGTTTCAGAAAATGCAGGGAATTGCAGTCATAGGGGTAGAAAAATACAAAAATTTTCTGGGGGAGAAAACCCCAGACCCTCTCCAGGGCCGTAGCAACTGCGGGGGGGGGGGGCTGGGGGGCTGCAGCCCCCCAATAATTTGCTAATAATCATTCATTTTTCAAAATCATGCAGACCTTTATTATTTAATCCATGACAAACTGCAAAGAATGAAGATATTACCCATACTTTCCTGCAACTTATCCAATATATCGTTAATTAAATACACCTTCGTCCAATTGGAACCGTGAATTCCGTGAATTCTAAATTTCCACATACTAAAAACGCTGTTTTCTGACAATCAGAAATCTGTCAAATCTTCTCCAAAGTCCAGGAAATGGCATTTCAGAGACTCTAAATTTAAAAATTTCCTCGGGCCTTCGGCCCTCGCTTTCAGCCCCCCCCCAAACGAAAAGAGCTTCCTACGGCCCTGCTCTCTCCCCTCCCCCCACTATTAAATGCGATACCACACCAAACTTTTTGTTACCAACAAACCATCTATCATTGCTCCACACTCGGTATAGTATGGTCCCTTTTTGTAGATGCCCCCCCCCCCACTGACGAATTCTTAAAAAATGCCCCTGCGACAAATAGCTAGAATAGAAGTCAATTTTGAAATCAATTTTCCATCCGTAAACACAACTTTTCACGCTGATTCGAACAGTGGTATTTTTGTCCTTGTTTGACGCATAAAACCAGAGATAAAGCTGAGCAAACTGTCGATCATCATGAGTGTACACGATTAATAATAATTAATAAATTCCGAGCACGTGCAAGAAATTTTTGGTAGGCGATTAAGGAAACGTATTGATGCGAACAAACTAACAAACGGACAAACTAACAAACAAACTCACAGGCAGAATATAATTCGGTGCCAAAAATGGCTCGGGCACTGCAATATGATGATTTGTTGTGCTTTTGTTGTAAGTAGCTAGGCCTATCATTAAAATATCTTGAAAATCCTTCTAAACGTTTCTTTATAAAGTATACAAAGCCTATACATTGATATCGAAACACAAAAATTCAAAGTTTTGAACAATTTGAGCTTCGTGACTTTGTATAGACGTATAGGCCTAATGATTTAATTGTGTTACATTTCATTGGAAGTCACCAAAATGAGCTTTTTTAAAAGTCTCGTGTGAGGCTCCAAGGCAATAACCCAAGCTAGCTTTTAATATATAACATGTACACATGCTATACCATTCCGTGGATGGAATATAAACAAATTCACGATTATCGCACATAATAAATTTCCCCTTCAAATCCAGTGACAAAATGCAATTCTAAAATTTGACTAAAAATAGCGAATTTCAACAACGTCTGACAGGCCAGTTAAAGCCTCCTTGACCATTCTATATTGAAAACAGTGTTCTTTAATACTTGAATTATAGTCATTAAACCATCAAAACTATCTACGGGCAGTTTTGAATCCGTCGCGAAGTGATAAAATTGACCATGGCAACAGCTTTGTCTGCAGCTAATTATAGCCTTCCGGAGAGAAATTCTTGATTTCTGATATTTGTACGTTTATCGACCAAATATTGAATATCTAACCCAAACACCATTTATACTAGGTATTACCTAAATTTAAGCAAAATATAAAAGAAATTTATTTTTCATCTATTGCCACTGTTTGCTCGATTTTTACGGACAGTCGCTCTTAAGTTTATATTGGTGTTTGGTTTACAAACGTGCGAGATTATTGAACAATTGTTCTCATATGATTCACGTTTTATAGGAAGAGTATTTTTAGACTTTTATAGGGTTAGGATTAGGGTTTCGGTTAGGGAAAGGGTTAGGGTTATGATTAATATCAAGGTTATATTAGAGTAATGGCTAGGTTTAGGGTTAGGAGTAGGATTTTTAAGTTTAAAATTCAAAAGATTACAAAATTACAAAAGCCTAAAAATATTAACTCCACTTAAAACGTGACAAGTATAGTTGTTATCATATATACCGTGTTCGATCGCTTAATTTAATCCAATGTGTCATGCGAGAGATGAGGTGGGGTGTCAGTTACTGCCGCTTGACCTATGTTATAAGGTCGCCTCGACACGACCTGGGACTTCAACTTCACATTCTATAGTTATGTTATTATTCTGCACTTAATGTCTGCTCCCGAGCGAAATAGTTTTTTGTGTTTCCCAAGAGGAAGTCGAGTTTATTAAGGCCCGTTTACACTTGCAATTTTTGCTGATATTTCTAGTGCGATTTTCTTCTTCTGATGCATGTGACGGAGTGGATGAGTTTGAATGTTCTGAGTATATGAACCCGCATCTCAACATTCTTACACTCGTTTACATACATCAGGAGAAGAATATCGCACCTACACAACACTCAACAACACTCAACAACATTCATACAACAATTATATTTCGTGACAAAACTCTATAGTGTAAACGAGTTTAAAATTAAAAGAACATATTTAAATGGTTTCAGCAGCATATCCTGATGCCTGTTGTGTATTCTTTTTCCCTTTTACATTCTTTATTGAAACACAAGCTTGGAAAATCATAGTTTCTACTTGTGCTAGTTGTGCCGCCATTTTGTTTCTTTATGTACGTAGCCGATTGGGGCGGGCAATAATTTTTCGCTTGTTACCCGGCGGGAAACATTACATTTATTCGAAGTCACGTCACAACAAATCAGCTAATCACGTGGATCGGAATAAGGCATAGAAGGACTTGAACTAATCGAACACGATATAAATTGTACTATCAGCAGACATACATGTTTTGGCGTCCTATGCCTCGTAACTGCTGTTTGCTACACGTCTAAATACGCGATACATTCCTGTTTCTAGCACGTAAGCTCTCGTCAAGGCACATGTGTTGCAGCTTTGTGACATCAACACATCCAGACATGTGTGGAGTGTAACGGGGACAGAGTACTCAAACGTCCAGAAGGGAAATGAGCTTTATGTACTATTTAAAAAACAAGCAGGAGTGTTTTATTAGGTTTAAAGCCACGAGTGCGCAGCGCGAGTGGCTTTAGACCTAATAAAACACGACCCGCGAGTTTTTTAAATGACTTCAAAAACGTATGCATAATAAGTCAAATATTTATATAAAAATCTTTATATAAAAATCTTTATATAAAAATCTTTATATAAAATTTTTTATATAGTTTGCATAACAATGGTATTTTGTTAAAGTGTTCTTTAGCTGGTATAAAGACCTATGTACGTGACTAATTTCTTACTCAAGATTGGATAATTGCTTCATGAATTATTAATGAGTTTTTGAAAGATATATACAGATATCTATCGATATTAGGGAGACATAAAGACGGTATATTTCAATGATATCTCTTCTCGTCCCGATATTTTAATAAATGTTGCATTTCAAAACATCCCAAACTCGTGGTCGGCACGAAGCTCTAGCAAGATGTTCTGTGATTGGTTGATTATGACAATGACAAAAGAATAACCTATATATAGAATGGATTTTCTAAAGAACGGAGCAAGAACAATATTCCTTTTGTTTATGTAAGCCAATTATGTCTTTTGTAATTGTCATGGTCAAAAATTACGTTATGTAACAGAACAGCAGAAGGTAGTTTTATGTAGCGACATAATTGAGGTAATATATGGAAATAACCGGGTCTTTTCTTCCATAGCTAGTTTTCGAATCTTGAAGTTATATAAGTATGTGTATTAAAACTTACCAGATTTCATATAACGTATCGCATCGTCCTTTATTTTCTTTGTAACCTGATTTGTGGTGGTAAGATAATCCATGACGTAAATATTTGGAGCAAATTTAGCCATATTTTGTTCACCACAACCATAGGGCATTGCTAGTAGTCCATCAAGATTTGTCAGAGCTGGGCCCATTATATCGCCTAGAAAGAGAATATTGGAAGTAATACCCACTAAAATTTAAGAACTTGCATAAGAAATTATGATCAAATTGAAATTGATCACAGCAATAAGTCTTAAACTCGTCAAAACTATTTATTTGTAATGCTTACCAATAATTGATATCTTTTGTAGCACGGATCCAGGAATGATATTTGCCGGAATAGCTAAATCAATGATCTCGCTGTAGCTTCCTGGTTAGGGAAAGTAGGACAAAGCTTAGCGCTATAATGATTATGTCAAGAACGACTGTATGATGTTACTATAACAATATACAGCTAATTCAAAAAAGGTTGACTTTTGCAGATCTTAAACTCTAAACCTTAAACATTAAACTCTAACCGTGCAAAGCCTAATGGAAGCATCATTTACTCAGTTTAGTAATTATATATATGGGACCTTTCATTTATTTAACTTGTCTCTAAGAAGAAATGGGCCCCATATATGATTTCTAAACTGATTAAATGATGCTCCCATTACGCTTTGCACGCTTAGAGTTTAATGTTTAATGTTTAAGGTTTAGAGTTTAAGGTTTGCACTGGACAACCTTTATTGAATTAGCTGTAAATAAGGTTTGCAAAGGACAACCTTTTTTTAATTGGTTGTACACAAATGGTTGAACGAAGACAATCCCCAATTTCCAATCTATGCTAGATTTGATTTACAGATATTAAACAAAGTAATCTTGCTTCATTATCTAAATTTCGGATTGCTTTCACTAACATTTACCTTTTTTAGGAGCGCAAAAGAAAGTTCCTTTGCTATGTTCCTGTTTTATTCCTTCAGGCTAGAAAAAACCCCGAAATGACAGGTTATTATTTGACTGATTTTTTTTAATATGCTAAAATACCATTGCGGAGAGAAATCCTTGGCACGTCGATATCAAAATGAAACAGAGAATTCAGGGGTTAAGGCCCTGTCACACTATTGCGTATCGTACTAGTGTATGCCAGCGTATGAAAAATATCACTCATACGCCGGTATACGCTGACATAAGCTAGGGTACGTTAGGCGTAGGTTTTATACGTTTCAAGCACGATCGCATACGGTGGCATACGCTGGCATACAGCAAGGTAGAAAATTTTTTTAAGCATGCTCAAAAATTTTGTGCGTATTCGGACGTATGGTTTATACGATAAGCATAGTCCAGGCACACGCTGAATACGCTAGAGGTACGCCAGATGTACGGTACTCATACGCTGGCATTTGAAAGGATATTTGTGCGTATGAAAATTATTTCATTAATTTCCATACGCTTCTCATACGTTTCTCTCATACGCAATAGTGTGACAGGCTTTTAGCGAGAAATGTTCATAATGTCGCAAACACGACATTATCAAAAACGAGTATAAGAACTATTCAAAACAATAACCAGAAAATGCTTAAAAATAGCAACAATATGCTATTATAATAACCGAACAAAGTCAACAAAAACGATCCGTGACGACAATCTGCACAAGTTTAACGAGAACAACGGAAAACTAGATATACCTATATAAAGCCATTAAGCACTACTATTCTGTTTAACGCATGTTCTCGTATCGTTTGGTGTTGAAAACGTTTCGAAGCATATTTAATGTGGAATGTTATCCATGCTCTTAGGCGACTCCCATGCAAGGGTTTTCAATCTTTTCAAGTAACAGCCTTTCAGAGTGTGGGTATGTGGGAGTTTATTTGCCCAATATATGACGTGCTTTTTTCCAATTTATGTTCAAATTGCATGCATGCATGTAGGGTGGGCATTGTTGTGGGACGCAAATAGCTGAAACATAAGAACAAATTTAGATGTTACAAGATCCTCTCGTTTGCACAAAAGTTCATGACTATTGTGACGTTTTATAGGAAATAGCTCATATTTTGAAATAATAGCAAACTTGAGCTGTGCGAGATTTCGTAAACCATGATTTCGCAGTTTCTGGTACAAGGACAACACTTGACACATATCACTGACAATATAATTGCCCGATCATTATGGATTAGCTTCACAAAATATCCGTATATACAATGCCCACGTCGGGTGCATGCTGGTGGTTGAGGAGTATAAATGGGGATAAACAGACGAGAACACAGGTCTGCAAATAAAAGCCTCATCTGTACCGGGTGCTTGCCTTCCCTCTTCTTCTTCTTCCTCTTACTAGCTCTTGGTTTCTCTCTACCACTGTTCTCAAAAGACGAAACAGCTTGACGTATGTATCTCTTCAAGCAGCGTTATCAGCAGCAATTCAAGTTGACCATTGACGGTGATCAATGTCAATAACAGTAAGGGAGTTTTCTGAAAGCCTTTTCCGTTTCTTTAGAGCACATATTTGACTCTGTAGACAAGGTGATTTCTGCCCAGCTGCGTTTTCAATTGCATGCCCTCGATGTTGTCGACTCTTTATATTGTGTTTACTTCACCTTAATTCCGCATCACACAACAATGAGCTTGCTCCCTCTCCCTTCATATCACCTAATTATACTTTGTGCCCTGCAAAAGTTACCCAAAACGCGGAATATTATAGCGAAGATTTAAACCTACCTCCACCAGTAACTTTCTCGTAACAGCATCAACGGCGTAAACAGTTGATTTGGGACAAAGTTTTGCATCAGATGTCATTGCTTTAACTGTAAGTGGTATATGACCAAGTTTATTTGGAATAATTTTGAACTTGACCGATTTCCCATCATCTTTACAAACGCACATCTTGCTTATATGGAATGACGTCACTTTATAGTCCTCCGATTTACGACTTAGTTCAAGTTTTATCTGAAAATGAAAAGAACTATTAGATACAGCAATATAAAATTTTTGATACAACTGCCGAAGAAAGTGCATTGTTTTATACTCAGCGAATGGGAAAGATACCCGGAATGTGGAATGCTGATGGATTTTATAATATTTATCTCGATTGTTCTAATGATGTCGTGCATCCGAAACGTAAATTACGATTACTTTGTTATTTTGGGGTTAATTGTAGTATTAGTTTTCCGCACATTCACTGCTTGTTAAATAATTTTTGTCTAATTTTTGCGGCAAGAGCATCGGTTGCTCTGCTGTATCAGAATACCGTAGATATAACACTGGATTATAAAAATATATGTTCATACAAGGACTAGATTTTATGGCAACTATCTTTTTTGTGCAATGCAACCCTTCATTGATATTTAATAACCTTTTATAGATATTTCAAGAACTCGTTAATGATTCATGAGGAAAACACAAAAAAGTCATAAGCGTGTGGTATCCTTTGTGTGTGATAGAGATTTCCCTTGATTTGATCTGACTTGATTTGATTTGATTTGTCCGGTTTTTAGTTTTTCACATTAATATTTGAGCATATAATGTTTGTTGACTGAAAATCCTTTTTCATATAGCAGAAAATACGTGGTCCTCTTTTTCCGAGTCACAGACCTATATGTATATCATACTAGCTCTGTTATTTGGGCACCACACTTCTCGCCAGGCCGTGAAATATTTCAATAGTAGCGATCGATGTGAAGGTGAATAGTGCAAGGGTTCCTGGAATGGAACGACCGCTAGGCACCTCTCGAGTATGTGCTGAAAATTGTTATTCTTCTATCTTGATGAAAGTACTCTAATTATTTAGTATAGGTAGTCACACGGGAAGGAGTGCAATTAATGACTAACAGTACAAGTAATATTTGAAAAACTATGTCAAAATTGGCTCTTTTTGCTATACTGAGTTTTTTAAACTAATCCTTGCGCCAAAATTTAGTTAAATTCGTCCACGTTTATTTATATTTATACAAGATGAATTTCACCGCCATATTGGATTTTTGACGAAAATCATCAATTGAATGAAAAAATTCTACTCCTCTTAACCAATCAAATTGAAGTAATTTGTCATGTATATAATAAATCTGATAAACCAGACGAAATGCATACGAGTACAATTTTGTTATAGGTATTTGTATCAGATATGCTAGATCGTTCACGTTCGTGATTTCTTTTCCCTGTTTTCCTAGTTCATGAATTTGTTAAAAAATAAACAACTGTGCACTCACTGGAACACAGGACGACAGGTAGTTAAACACAGTCACAGTGATTGGTGTTTCTTCTCCACGGATTACAGAATAGGGCAGAGTCACTTGAACAAAAAATGGTTGGAAAGCCTTCAACATTGCTTGATTTGAGATCCCAATGCCGTAAATAGAAGACATAGCAAAACCATTTGCAACCCAACTGGTGATAGTTGTATCAGGAACATGTACTTCCAACATTTCCATTCCAGATGTTTCACTAAGAAAAGAAACACAATATAATATTACATTTTTATAACTGCGATCACTACATTTACATTTCCCTGAGAAACGTATAATAAACATGTTCTAGCATTCAGTAAATTTATGGATTAGGGAGCAAAATATTTCAGTTATTATTCCGGGGAATTGACGAGTGAAATTATGTATCAACGTAGGCAATCAAATTCGTGAATGATAAACCTGATCCTTTTCGTCACCTTGCTGTTGTACTTTTCCATGCCTATACAACACAATGCCATTACAATTACACAATCCGCATTTCCATGACCCTTGTGTGAGATAATCGTCAGAAACCTTGTTAAATATCAGCCATTTGGTTATGAAAACCCTTACATAAAAAATATACGACATTCAACGATGCAATTCAGACCTGTGCAACAAAATCTATACACTGTTCCAATGCACAACATGCTATTAAAATGTTGCACGACGACTACCGCATGGAATTTATCAATCTAACGCTGTTTGTTGTATATTTCTCTTTTGTTTCTTTTATTTAGAATTGGAAAGAGAATGTGGTTGCAGGTATTCGGATCCTGGAATGCTGTAAAATTTCCTTGACCTGTTTGCACATTGTATTGGGCGAACATTAAGTAATATCAGTGGTGTAAAATGAATTTTTTATTCATTGTGATGGATTAATGAAATTGGATTGGTGAGAGAATAATGACGCAATGCAGTGAAATACAATTTTCGAAGATAGTCGTGATGCACAATTTGTAATGCCACTTGTGATATACAAGTTATAATGACGATATACAGTAATAATGCTGGTTATACACAAGTTATACTGAAGTTAAATAGTAATTTAATAGTATAGGTGGAATAAAAGTTGTGACGAAAGCATACAAACTAGAACGAGATCGACATGAATAATAATGAAATTGGCAGTAATATAATGGATGTGTATGACTTGATTCATTGTGTTGGTGAGGATCGTGAAGGCCTACCCCGGTGCATTTATGCAGTGGTTCCAAAATTCCTTTGAATTTGTGCTTGAGTAAAAGTAGAAGTAATTAACAATAAAACGACTTGAGCAGGAGTAAAAAGTACTGGAAGCAAAACGTACTGAAGTAAAAAGTACAAAGTATCCTTAAGAAATACTTGCAGTAAAAAGTAAAAGTACTATTTCTGTAGCGTGTACCACTGCTGAGAACAGCATGGTCTACTTTTCAGACCCCGTTGGAGATATAAGAAATCCATTAAATAAATAATGCTTATAATTAAGCCACAAACGAGAGATCCCAGACGCATGTAGAGGTCCTATTACCCATCCCAAAATTAAAATAAATCAGGAATAAATCACGTAAAATTAAACGAAAGTTAAAAAGTAACGAAATACTTCGCCACAAAATGAAAATAACGAAGTAAAACGTTACTTCTTAAAACAACTTCGTCCCAAGTAAAAGTACGGCAGAAAAAGTTTTTACTTTGTTACTTGCTGACTTCTCAAAAATAGTACTCAAGTACAGTAACGAAGTAGATTTACTTCGTTACTTGACACCACTTCGTTTATGTATGATATTGTATGATATTGCTAAGACATGGGTAAGTACCATTATATCGATATCGCTTTACAGGTCAAGTCTCATGCCGTTTGGTATCCAAACTAAGGTTATGTTCTCATCAGTCTCCAAGCATGCTTAACCACAGAAGCACGTTTCTACCCCGCAACGCGGTTTATTTTAACGTGCAGTTCTACACAAAATGTGCAGTTCTAAACTCATTTGTGCAGTTCCTAAAACTCAAATGTGCAGCCACCAAATTAAAAAAATATAACCTCAAAACAGTCTTCCCATTTACTCGTTTTCCTTGTGGATGCTCCAGATGCCAGAAATGCTGTCATTGAGCATAAAAAATCTAAATGTTTTCTGGGAGGGGACCACAAGACCTTCATATTTTCATCACAAATCACATACGTGGTGGAGGTAATGGAACAGGAGGTAAAATTGGTGCGAGCGAAGCTATCCAAAAGAGATTAAAGTGGGAGAACCTAAAATTCTTTGCTGTTATTATATATTGAGTATTCCTGATTCCCAGTTACATGTTTTGAAACAGTTTTTGTTGGTGGTTGGGAGAAACAAATCTTTGCCAGAACTTATGACCATCAAAAATTAAAAAATTGGGGGCACCCCCTACCTGTAGCTCCCCACCCAGAATCGAGTTTTTCTGGCCTTACTCAAGCACAACTTTTTTTATCACCTATACACTAATTAAGAGTCTATCATAATTTACAACGTTAAATATAAATTTACAACGTTTAATATAGATAAACACCTTTGACCCCCCCAGTCAAACACCATTTGACCTCCCAGCCAAACACGTGATGCGTCGTAGCATCCTTAACATGTGTAGTTCTAAATTTTTCTTAAAATAAACCCTGACTGGTCCCCGGTAGCTGGTCTTGAAACTACACGTGCTCTCCTTTAGAATTCATTTTAGTTCCTTATGAATTATATACATGTTAGCGCGCAAAAATCTGTGGATTATTTCATCTAGGAACAATGTGAATGTTATTTTAATTTGATATTGGTGAGCTTTGTGAAAGGTGGTGACCGGTGAAACACGCTTACAATTTGCAGGTTTGTTGCGAGGAAGTTTAGAAAAGAGTCATGTCTCCACGTGAATCGTTCTAGATACGATTGGCAACCAGCTACTATGTGCAGAAATGTTTCAGGAGCTAGACATCGCGAACAGTCTGAAGTCGGTGATAAACCCCATCTTGCAAGGTTTTGGTGCGTTGGAAGGGAGATATTGATGTATCGTACTGTAAAGTGGAATATATTTATCGGGAGGTTCGATAGGCACGCAGACCAAATCTTAGTGAGTTTTTAGAAAGTGAGAACTTTGTTAAATTAGTGAAGAAAGAACCTTGACAAGTTAATTGAGTATGCAGTTTATCCTCTTGTCCATAGCGAAAGTCCCTAAGAACTTGCTTAGTGGAGTTATTAACGTCATACTGAATATTTTTACTGTTACTAGAACCTTTGCAAGAAACTTTAGTATGCAATCGTGTCTCCACGTAAATCGTTCCAAGTAATGTTGAGAAGCGGCAACACCGTGTAGAAGTGATTCAGAGTGTAAGCAGAACGAGCAGACGGAACTTGATGAAATTGCCCATCTACTATGGTTCTTACCGACCAGGTTGCGTTAAGTTGTGATAGGGAGAATTTAGAAACATTTTCGAAAAAGGAACCTTGACATTTCAAACGGTCCCTAAGTTTATTTTCAATAATAATAATAATAATAATAATAATAATAATGGAAACTTTATTAAATGTTTTTCTTTACATACATATACAATCATAAATCTCTCTCATAAAGGTAACTTACGGTTGGCTATTTGAATCACAATTATACTAAAATAACAGAACAAAGTGCGTGCAATATATATATATATATATATATATATATATATATATATATATATATATATATATATATATACAATGAGATAAGTCAAATTGTTAGAAAATCCGGATTTTCCCATTCCTTATTTCGGCAACAAAAAATGTAATATGTAGTTCTAATAGCAATAGTCATCATTTTCCTAACGCAGTACATTTGGTGGTTTTTGTCAAGACCAATACTATCTAACATGTCTAAAAATGTATAACATTCTTCTGCAAAAATATCTAAAGAGCTGATGGAGAGATTTATAAATTTAACTTGGTTAAAATTTTTACCTAGCTGTCTCAATAATTCTCTATATTTATCCTTCTTCCGTTTTACGTTGTTTTTGAGGTTTGTCTCATAACCAGTGGTGAGTTCAACCACATATAAGGAACCATTTGAGCACGATAATAACAAATCTGGGCGATACGTATCACCAGTAAGTATTGAAGGGCTTTTGAATCCATTTAGGTCGGCGTAGAGAGTAGAACCGTCAACAGTTTGTAACTGATGAGCAAGAAAGTTCAGGACTGAATTGTGTCTCCACGTAAATCGGTCGAGATAAAACTGACATCCAGCTACTATGTGTAGTAATGTTTCAGGGCTAAGACAAAAAGAACAGTCTGAATTTGAAGATATTGCCCATCTGTTTAGGTTTTTTCGCGTCGGAAGAGAGTTGTTAATGTAACGAATGGTAAAGTTGTAAATGTTTTTCGGGAGCTTTGATTGGGCGACGGACCACACCTTGCTAAGCTGAGGTAAAGCGAACTTCGTGACGCTGCAGAAAAAGGATCCTTGACTGGTTAATTGGTTTAGGAGTTTGTTTTCGTGTCCAGAACGGAAATCTTTGAGAACTTCCTTAGTAGAGTTATAAGCGTCATATTGGATATTAGTATGGTTACTGGTTGCTCTCCACAGGTCGTTAGTTGATTCATTAGGAGAAGATTTTAAAGCTTTTCGGAGGACTGTTTGACACTGGATAAATTTTACAGATGGAGGATAAATACTCAGGCCAAATTTGTTATTTGTTAGAAAGACAGTACTTAGTGTTCCTGATATTGGTACTTCAAGCCATCTGCGGATATATTTGTTGGCAATAGAGTCGATATTTTCAGTAACCCATGTTTTAGAGAGTGTTGCGACGGTGAAGTGCCAGGCTAACTTGGACAAGACGTAGCGACTGTAGAGGAGCAGTTTATTTTTGGGGTGTAGTGGCTTTGAGTCAATATCAGACATTAGTTCATTAAGTAGGGTGGTTAGTTCAGTTTTGTGATTATCATTCGACATGTGGAAATCAAAGTAACGTCCTAAATATTGAAATGATTCTCCAATGGTGATTTTTGGTATTAGTTGATTGCTGATGAGGAGTTTTGGCAAGTACTGAACTGATTTTGTGATCGCTTTTTTAATGCCAAAGGTACTGCATTTGTCAACTCGGATAATCATATCGGACCATTGGCACCAGATAGAAAATCGATTTAATAGATGTTGGTTTTCGGATTCTTGGCCAGTAATTACAGCCGCGTCATCAGCAAACTGGAACCAATGGATGGGATTTAGTAATTTGAAGGAAAACCCAAATTGACGGTACTTTTCAGCCTTGATATGCTGAATGAATGTATTGAAGCACATGTTAAAAAGAAGAGGACTGAGGCAATCTCCTTGCAATACGCCACGGCCAACTGTCATAAAAGGAGTGCGGAATTCAGAGGTAATTATCGAGGTTTGGAAATCAGTATATAAACTTTTTATAACAAATTTTATATGATCAGGGATATGGTGGTAGTCAAGTACGGATTGAATGAGGTTGTGATGGATTTCGCCGAAGGCATTCTTAAGATCAAGTAGGGTGATGACAACAGAGCGTTGTCTGATCCGAGCTTTATTAATAATGTCAGCCATTTGCGCAGTATGTTCTAGAGTGCCAGATAGGTTGGGGGTGAAGCCTTTTTGTATGTTGTGTTCGACGAAGTTATTAGATGCGAGGAAGGAGTATACTGCGTTTCGGAGACAAGATGTAAATACTTTTAAAGGTATGGATTCGAGTGTTATGGGGCGGAAATTTGAAGGGTCATTATTGTTGCCTTTCTTGTGGATTAGTATGGTACATGCTCTTTTCCACTCAGTTGGGACAGTTCCAGATAGCCAAATATCGTGAATTAGCTCAGTAAGGTAAGTTCTCAGATAAAGACAATGCTTGAAACTTATTATAGAAAGTTGATCAAGAGGGCAAGGAGAACCAGACGATTTCATTTTGCGTATAACATTTGTAATTTGTTGATAGGTCGGGGGGTCAAGGTTAAATTGAACTGCAGGATCAGATAACTTTGGAATCCAGCTGGGAATTACAAATAGCTTGTTAGGATTAATTTTAGCCAGAGATTTAGAGAAATAAGAAAGGCAATCAGTCATGATAAATGATGGTAATACTGCGTCTTTTCTATTGATTATATTTTTAACATAGTCCCAAAAGCTTCGTTCCAGATATTTGTTGTGATTAAACGACTCACTGTCATTTAAGTCATCGGCGTCGTTGCCATTGTTACGGAGCCTGTCGCGCAATGTACGCGATACGTATTTAATTTCACTGAGTTCACCCTTTTTGGATTTTAAATTTTGTAAAGCTTTCTTTAACTCTTTAACCGTATACTCTTTATATTTAGCTCCCATATTTTTGTCGGGTACAGTTTCAGTATGTCCATAATTATTTGCAAAGTAGCTGTATATCGCGTCATTTAAAAGCTTGATTTTTGAATTTAGATCTTGCAATGTGATTGGATCACTTGGCTGGAGTGCACATTTAAAATAATCATTAGCCGTTGACCATTCAGAATCATTTTTCGGGAGATTTATGCCTTTCTTCAGTTCAGGAAAATTATCGTAATTAACTGTATTAATATCATTGCCGTTGTGTTCAATTTCTGAAATATTTACGCTGTTATCCGTAGTTATTTGCTCCTCAAGATCTGCACAAAGCTCGTCGTTAAGGCCATGTATCACTTGACAACTGCGCTGATGCATTTTAAGGCCGCGCGTCCCTTTGCATATCTTGCCACAACAACATTTGACAACCGTGCGACTTGACACAGGAACATTAGGGGACTGCATTACAGGCACTTGTCTTGTAGTAGCGTCAGGGGGATCTCGTTCTGCTTGGTTAATCCGCTGTTTACAACGCCACGAATGGCGACCGAGCGCGACGAAGTCTTCATCACAAAACGAACAGTAATAATAATAATAATAATAATAATAATAATAATAATAATAATAATAATAATAATAATAATAATAATAATAATAATAATAATAATAATAATAATAATAATAATAATAATAATTTATTTATAAAATAATCCTACTACATTAATAACTAATTACTAGTATATACAAGGAAGCGAGTCTAAATTGTTGTAGTATGTTATAGTATATGTTATAGTAAGAATTTATAGTAAAAGTCTAAGCCTAAATTTTGGCACGAGAATTGTCTACTTCGAAGTCCGTTTCTTGAACGTTCGTTGTTATCCTACTGGGTGCTCTAGTCCCTCTGAGACAAAGTAGGGCTGACCGCAAGATGGCAAAGGAGACCTTGGCTCGTGTCCAGGACATGGTTGTAGAGTAGTCTTCGCCTTTCTTCGCTGCTATGAGCTCGGCCAATCTGCTATGATACCTCTTGCACTCTGCAAAAGTCTTTTCAAAAAGTCTTTTTAATAGATCAAAAGATAAAAATACATATCTTATGTTACAAGTATATATTAAGAATACATTAGTAAAGTTTACATCATATGAATAGGTTATAATTAAAAATTAATCTATTTGCAAACGACAATTTAAAACGTTCCGTGTTCACTCTTGGATACTGACTAAATTCTGTCCTCGAGGAGTAGCTTGTGGATTTTTTTCTTGGTATCAAGTCGACTATGGCACTCTTCTGATTTACAGAAGCTTTAAAAATATTTCTGTCTTGTATTTCTAAAAGATATCTAATATTTACAGGTTCTGATATATACTTTCGCTTAAAACATCTGTCAAAAAACCGTTGTAGTGTATTGAGTTCGGCTGGAAAAGAACCGTAGACGGACAGGCCAAACGTTATAGTAGATATTACTAGAGTCTTAAATAGATAATCTATTCACTCATGCCTCCAGTCGTTGTAAATACTATAGGTGTAAACGTTCCGTGTTCTATCTCCATCACTTTTTGGGCATACATCGTCTTCTTCTCGTTTTCATGTTGCCTGTGTATCTGTTGAGGGCTCAGGTCTTTGTAGGATTGCGCGTTGGGGTGACAAACCCTAACGTCAAAGAACGCGGACCCTTGTTTCTCCCAAAACCCTCGAGCGTGGATATCTAGGCGAGCGTCGGATGCTGTATTTCACGGTGGGCACAAAAGACAGCTAATTCGGCCACGTACAAATAACTTTCTGTAGTTAGTTTGGAATATCAAGAAACTTCCTCACAGGATAGAACTTGCAATTCCTAAAAATCCTATCGTTTTTGATTTTCGATTTTGTTACATTTTTGTGGGAAAATGACGCGCCAACTTTGGCGCCAAAAAAATACACACGAGCTAAGAACATGCTAGTAACTTTTTGAAGAGATTGTCCTATAAGGATCTCAAAACTGTAAAAACATTAAAAATACAACAATGCACAGCGAAGATATGACGATTCAAAATTCGAAAAAAATCTATTTTTAGTAACAAAATGGCGAATTTTTCAGAATTTTAAGCACCATATCCGTGCACTGCTTTGGCGTATTTTCAATGTTTTCACAGTTCTGAGATCCTTATAGGACAATCTCTTCAAAAAAGTTCCCAGCATGTTCTTAGCTCGTGTTTAATATTTTGGCGCCAAAGTTGGCACGTCATTTTCCCGCCAAAATTTAACAAAATCGAAAAACAATTAGGATTTTTAGGAATGGCAAGTTCTATCCCGTCAGGAAGTTTCGTGATATTCCAAATTAACGACAGAAAGTTATTTTGTACGTGGCCGAATTTGCTGTTTTTTGTGCCAACACGCCGGGCTAGAAGAGTGTTGAATTCGGACACATGACAACAGAAGGAGCCTGCGGACTAATTATATTTTCGGTCAGATGCTACTATTTTCAAGATGGCGTCTCTTCTTCTGAGTTTGCACGAAGTAGTCGAAAAGTACATTAAAAAGGCAAATGACAAAGAATTGGCTGGGAAAATCAGAACAGAAGTTCTTGAGCGTTCCAGACAAGTCGCAAAAAAATATTTATTTTCCGCAGAGGATGCTTGTAAGTTTCATGTCGCGGAGCTTTTCCCAATGTTTTCGAGGGAGTTGCTTCACTTTACCAAGATCCTTCGCAGAAGAATGAAAACTTCAACTACCTTGTCTCATCCTTGGCAAATCGGCATTGTCAGAAACGTTCCCGTGGAAATATTCGAATTGCTAAAGGAAACAATTTTAAGGCGTGGCTATGGTAATATTGTGAAGAAAACAAAGTCTGTTGAACAGCTTGAAATATCATACTTGGATGCTGTTTATAACTGGGTAAAGCATGTCGCTGGCAATAATACAATTTCTGGAACTATAGAAACAGATTTTTTTTCAAAACTATTGAAAGACGGTTCATGTTGTAAAGCAATAATTTCACCAAAACATCCATTTAAATACTCCAATACACAAGAAAATATTCAGTATGTAACTCGTTATGGCTGCTGGAATGCATTTGGCATTCCTCAACATGTTCTTTCATAAATCTTGGTTGCGGTTGAAGCTGCGGGGTTGAAGTATAATAACTATTGAGCATTAACTATAATGGTATGGATATTGTTGAATGGTATGGACATAATGGACATTATATATGTGTGGAATGCAGGTTATAAATTTCCACGCATGCTTGTAGAAAAGCCCCCTAGCTACTAGTGCTTAGGTCAAGCAGGAATTAAAATTATGACATTCTAATTTTTTTCTAGGCATGGCACACCCCCCCCCCCCCCCCCCCCTCCCGGTAACCTGTACAGATTGTGCCTGCGGGTGGCGCTCAGCGATAATTTCAGAAATACATGTATATTTGCCAAGTAGCTAGCTTTTCCTTTTCTACAGGCATGATTTCAAAAATTATAGTTTATAAGCATGTGTATGGAAATTAATACTAGCTGCATTATTCTTTACATGCATGGGAATCAAATTGCCTGGCATTAGAGTGAAATAAAAAATGGCCTCATCCTAGCTTTAACTGTTTTGTGTCCTATCATGTTTTTGTATAGGATTTTAATTAACATTCGGACATGATGTGCACCTCTTTTACTGTTTAACACGGTCAGGCATTTTGCTTGTCAAGTGGGAGATAGTGAATTTTAATATTAACCCATTGAGTCGCATTGCACCCTGATGCACCCCACTTTAGTATTTTACTCTGTCTAACGCCAGACGATTTTACTCGTCAAGGGGAGACCGCTGGCGCTTAATGGTTTAACTGGCCTATCAGCCCATGTGTCTAGTTAACCTGTTGAGTCGCATTGCACCCTGATGCACCCCACTTTAGTATTTTACTCTGTCTAACGCCAGACGATTTTACTCGTCAAGGGAAGAGCGCTGGCACTTAATAGGTTAACTGACCTATCTGCCCATGCGTCTAGTTAACCCGTTGAGTCGCATTGCACCCTGATCCACACCACTTTAGTATTTTACTCTGTCTAACGCCAGACGATTTTACTCGTCAAGGGGAGAGCGCTGGCGCTTAATGGGTTAAGACAAATTTTCATCTTGCTCACTGGCTTGCTGTAACCGGATCGATCAGACGAAATAAATTAGTCCAAATAGCCAGTGTAAATGCCGGCCTCTAATATAATTGAATCAGACTACAATATTCTGTACAAACATCATGTGGCTAAAGGCGCACAGTCTCTGTTTGAGCGGTATTATTTTAGTGTCATATTGGCCATTCTTTGCTCAGTTCTGTCCAAAACTAATTCAAGTTTGAATGTAAACATATCGTGCTAAATAATATCGCTCGAATTGCGACTGCGTTCCTTTAATTCTTCAATTGTGGTTACATATAGAAACATATGCAAAAGTGGACAACCATTTGTTCAATAAATAGTTTATTAAAGCAAAAATGCATCAACAATTTTACACAAAAGTATATTAAACATATTACAATTGTACATGTATTTGTACACAAAATTTCAAAAAATTTAAAAGAGTGTTAAAACACCAAGGTCTGCTTATTGCATAAAATATGTTATCAACTTTACAGACTGTATTAAATATATGCTACCAATTGTGCACAAAGTTAAGTTAAAAATAGTGTGTTAAAACACTTGCTAAGCTCCTTTAATGTGATCTCGTTTACATTCCATTTAGGGCTATATATATATATATATATATATATATATATATATATATATATATATATATATATATATATATATATATATATATATATATATATATATGTATTTTCTTGATCAATGCTCCAGCTATTGCTGTCTCTTCGACAGCTTTAAAAACATCTGATATACAAATACTACATTGCTAACCTTTACATATAGGGAAACCACAATAACAGAAGGTTTCCAGCTCTATTTCTCTAGGTATGTAGTGGTGTTTGTGTGTTGTGTACAAAACACGGCCAGGCTCATTCATGCGGATCCACACATTACACATGTAGTCATGACGTAAGACCATAGACCACCTTGTTGATTTTGTGGAGTGTTTGGCAAATTCAGAAAGTCGTACATGTTTTGCTTCTCGGCCTTGCTTACTATTGATACCCAATCCCATGCCGTATCTATCAAATAATATTTCTACGTGTCTTGGTATAGCATAACCAACAGTCCACAGTGTTGGTGTGACTGATTTTAACAACAGAGCATTGGCATTAAAAAGGTATAAACAAGCCTTCTTGCACTGTTTTAACTCAGCAAGGGTAATATCTATACAAGAGAAATATGATATTGCATCTCTTAACTGTAAGCAACAGAAAGCTATGGATGCAATCTTCAACTTAGTCTGAGGTGGGTCAGTTGCTTGACTCAATGCATGCAGCACAAACATGAATTTTTGACAAAATATTCTGGTTTCTCTTCCTGTAAACCTATAACTAAAAGGACCTTTCCGGCCTTCATTGAACCAGGTTCTTATTTTTTTAACCAGCCGACCAACACGCAGTTGGTTTTTGTATCTGCGAAGCAGATATATTGCTGTCGCAAACGTGCCGTTAATGTTACCGTATGTTAACACATAGCCATTCAGCGACGAGCTTATATAATTCAGCCAATTTATGCCAATTTAAGCCAATCAGCGATCAGTTTACATCAATTGTTTACATCGTGCCCGCATCTAACCTGCGAACGGGCGGCGTTTGGCCTCGTGTTATTCTTAGCCATTTTCACATTTTGGCTTCAAAAATATCTTGATTTTGGGTTTTTTACGTGTCATTCTAATTGCGATATTATTCCGAAGTTATCTATCAACATGGAAACTTATCCTCATCTGGTAAGTAGTCAAATACCACATATTTATTATTTTATTATACAGGGTGTCCCAAAAAACCCGAAAACTATTGAAATCACTTATTGTTTAATAAAATTGAATGCCCTACCAAAAAGTTGAACGTAATTATGCGTAAAATATTGACAAGGTGCATGTATTTAAAATTTAGTTAAGAACATCTCCTTGTATTAAAAGTGCGCGATTTTCTGCTATTGGGAATTTAAAGCAGCTTCTTAAACAGTTTCTTTATGCATAAAATTTACTTATGTCAATCATTTATACACTCGTGGGAACCAACAGAGTGCTAAGGCATTCAAATTCTAACAATTAAATTGTTATTGGTGATTTCAATAGTTTTCGATTTTTTTGGGGACACCCTGTATAGTTATACAGTAAAACAATCACTGTGTTGTGTATATTTTAAACAGTCAAAACATACATGTAGCAGGTAATATGTTTGTCAATGAACAATGTCATAGGAAACTAATGTTCTCCGGAGATATTGAATTAAATCCTGGTCCTGCATTTCTGTAGTAAACTCTGTTCCATGTTATCAGTTAAAATACTTATACATTTTTGTTTTACAGTGATTGGAGTTTTTAAAGAAAATGTTTACAAACATTTTCAATGCTAATAAAAGAATCCCCACTCTCCCTCCTCATTATATTGTTATTTTGCTTTCTAGCATAAATGTTTTTGTTTAGAGATTAATGCAAGAATGATGAATAAATGTAGCTACTGGATATTGGCTAGATAATTTTGTCAGAACAACCCACTTGCAAGACAACTTACCTAAATTCATTAGTATGGATAATAACTTAACAGCTACAATAATCATAATTATATTATATGGATGGATCAGATCAATGGCACACAATATGTACAAAACTAAACTTGTGATACCTTCTACTCAAACTGATATTCTCCCACAACACGAATTGTTTTTGTGTGCATGGATATGCTGTGTTAAACAGAACAGTGTGGTATATCATTAACTGTGCACAGGATTGGAATTGAATTATATACTTCACTCATGACCTTCAAAACATTCTCTACTATTCAGTGGTCTTTGATATATGATTGATTCTTTGCTACAGTGATGTATGTTCCTGGAATAGTTTGTGTATGTTACTCAACAGTTAATGTTGGCAAGTGTAAACAGCAAGTGACAGAACTTCTGCTTCATATGATTACAATAAAGTTTTGAAAATGGGTATGGATTGACAAGTGACAGTTTACTAAATAGGCACTTCGAATATTGTTTGCATGAAATTTTTATTTTTTGACCGCATAATTATCCGAGTTAGAATGGGTCGTTCCAGAAAAAACCTGTACTCCCCCCACAGAGGAAATTTCTGCCATCCGGAGGGGGAGGGGAAAAATTGTTTCTGATAATAATAAATGTATTAGGACATGCAAAGGGAGTAGGGGGGTTAACTTCCTATTTCCTCTGTGGTAGTGGTGTGGATGTTTTATGGAATGACCCAATTGTAATCACATAAAATTAGTTAAATTTTCTGCGTGTGAGGGGGGTGAGTTGCCCCTGCTACCCTCCGTGCTGTCACAGAATAAGAAGGTACAGCAGAAGTGAAAATCGAGTCGGTTCCCTTATTGTTTTACATCCACAAAAATTTTAACTCGCTCACATGCACCATCCTGGCTAGTACAACCGGAATTTTTATCAGATTTTGGTAAATGCTAAGTGCCGGTTGTACTAGCCAGGATGGCGTGATTGATGACAAATCACTTGTAAAAAGTGGACAAATGCTTACTTGAGTTACACTTCTGCTGTACCTTCTTATTCTGTGGTGTTGTCTACAGCCTTGTTAGATTTGTACTATGTTTGACTTTAAAATCTTATTTGCTATTATATTTATTATAATAAGTGATGAAAATGTGAATCAAGTTTTTTCGCAGATACATGTACGCTTTGTGTATCTATTTTTCAAAACTGTGATGTAAAGGGAAAAGGGACTATCCGAGGGTAGGTCTTCGATCTGTTTGCAGCTTCCTGTAATGCAAGATTTAATCAAAGCTGTTTCAAGCATTAGTTGATGAAAATAGGCCCAAGCATTGTTACTATTATGCAATGGCTCTGCAAACCAACAATCTACTAATTTGTCCAGAAGTGGTTCATATTCCTGTCTAGACCCCTGCTCCCTAATGAAATTGAGAAGCATATTTCTCTTAGTGGCATTGGAATTATTGGACCTGCATAGTTCCTCCCTCTTATTTGCAACTTCCCCAGTAACCTTAATCCATTCGTTATAGTTCCAGGGATGCCATGTACATGACGGATCATCCCCTAGGGATCCATTTCTGACCTGTTTGTTGTCATCATTTACATTTCCAAAAGGGGAAAAATAGTAAGCTGCGTTGTTGAGCTCTCCGCTCATTGTGGATAGCCATTTCATATCTGAGGGAACAAGTTCAACTGTAAATTTACAATTAAAACCGCTGATAATGTATCACTGTGTCTCAATGTGTGCGATATCTTGCATCAATTTATTTGCGTACTGTTTCATGCTTGGGTGATTTTCTGAGCAGTTTGCCCCACATAAAAGGAAATTGTCCCTTTCACTTTGAATATGCTTACCCACATTTAAGAACGAAACAAGCCAAGCAGTGGCTTCATCATCTTTTCCGAATGGAGCGCCATCCGCTCCAATGTTGTCATTGCTATCTTGATACTCTTTAACTTGTTTGCTCATTAAGGATGGGATAACCTTACTACGTATCTTTCGTGATTTGTCCAGATATGTTTCTAGTCGGCCAGATGTACTTTCATTAACCATAGTTGCCCACATACCATCAAGGGCTGCAGAGGTTTCTCCTAAAAATAGAATGTCGCAGCTGCAAGTTTTTCAAAACAAAATTATCACTAGCTTCTACTCCTGGGTAATAGCTAGCAAACCGCACGCCATGGATGTGCAGTCAATTAACCTGTTAGCAGGCAGTGCGCCCTACTTTAGTATTTACTCTGTTTAATGCTAGATGATTTTACTCATCAGTGGTAGAGTACATACTGCCGGTAAATGGGTTAAGAAAAAAATTCATTTCATAAAGCCATAATTAGTGCTACTTTCAAATAAACATCAGTCTTAATCTAGCTACAATGTTTTAGATCACTGGTTTCAAATGTTTT